GATTTGGGGGAAAGTCTGAAACACATAGAAACATTTCTTTGTAAGCCCTTGAACTTTACAGTTCACTCATGAGGAGCATCTTGGGTCATCCTTGCTCTGACTTGAACCCGCACTCCGAGCTGAGGACCACTGTTTTTGCTTTAATAATGCAAACTTTGTCCTTCAGAAATGCCCAGGATCAGAATTTACAAAATATCAGAGTCAGTTTATGAATTTTCAAATAATGTTTTTTCCAATAATGTATGTCCATTTTTAACTCCTTAAAAAATACAGATCATTTAAAGAATTGACTGACATTTTCATAAAAATTACATGTAATCCTACCGCTTGGTAATAACCATTGCCAGTTTAGAATTTAGCTCCTTTATTTCTATAAAGACATCCTATAGTTACCTGGTTATATAGATACATATGTCAACATTCCTTGAGATCATGATGAAAATGCAGTTTTGAGTGATATTTTATTATTTAGTGCATCGTGAGCATTTTTCCATGTCATTAAAATCTACAGTTTTTTTCTAACACCGGCAAGATATGTCATTATATGCATGTACTTCACCAGTTTTCCTCAGTGGTGGTGTGACATGCATTTTATTGTATAAGTAGTTTTTCATTTCTCAAATTATTTTTTGCAAATAGATCCTAGAATTGCTGGGTCAAAAGGTTTTGCGTGTTTAGTTAGTATTTCCTAAAACCATGTAGATGGTAATGATTAGAAAGCGATGACTATGGTCAGAACGTTATCCAGGTCGTCCCCAAGGCTTGTGGTGGGGCGACTGCGGCGTTGGGAGCTCTGGCCTCGCTTCCACCACATGAACTGGTGACCTTGTCTCTTCCTTCTTTCCGTCCGGCCCGCCCCCAGGACCCGGAGATGCAGTGCTTACTGCTGTCCGATGGAAAGCGGGCCGTCCATCAGAACCACGTCGTCGTCCTCCCGGGCGATGGCGGGAGCGGCATGGCTGCCATCAGCTTCACTGGGGCCTTGAAAATTCCCGTGAGTACATGCGCCCGGGAAGAGTTTCCAGAAGGGTCCTCTGCGCTCTGTGAAAAGCCGGCGTGCTGATAACCAAGCTTGGAGAAAGCAGCTCTGATTGTGTGATGCGTGGGTCAGAAATCCACGTCAGGAGCCGAGGTTGCACGCAGGCAGCATAAACAAGGCTCTGGGCTTCTGTTCGCCTCATACTATGTTTTTGAAACTCGTTGTCTCCATTCAGAAATGCAGATATTTCATAGACAAATCAGCCTCTCATCTGCACCTGCCAAACCAGAAAAGCTGGCTCCTCCGGCCTCACGCCATGGGGCTCAGGTCCCCCCACTGCACTCCCTGCCAGGCCCGAGGGTGAGCCCCTGGGAGGCACTGTCATTGTCACCACCTTCTGTTCTGTGGTCTGGGGGAGCCCACCCCATTCTCTTTACCCTTTAAAGTGCTTTTGGGAGCACAAACCTGTTCCAACAGACCCGCCCGTACTAACAGAAGAAGTGCGCGCAGGGCCCCAGGAAAGGACAAGGAGCCACCCCTGGAGACAGAGAGGCGACAGTCCACAGAACCCGGGCTTGTTCTTTGTTTAAAATCAGGAGTGCTGGTGCGTGGTGAGGCAGCTGGCCCTGACTCTGAGCTAACAGGCCTGCTGGTGGGGCCGCTTGTATGTGACAGGACGTGAAGCAGATCAGGGAGGTTATTTAAAACAGGGCCGGTGGGTGGCGGGGTGCGTGCAGTGCTGAGAGCTCTTACTGCAGTAGCATTTTCTTGTGTTAAATTCCTGGGCTCCTGCTGAGAGAATCTGGGCAGCTAGAGAGGGAACAGCGAGCCCTGCCCACGTGGGTAGGACAGCCAGGCCTGTGCAGCA